ATATTGACATAATCTTTCCATTCAGACATTCACTTAATCTTTTGTTAAGTATTTAATGATTTCCTTACTGACATACATTAAATAAGAACTTCAGGCTAGAAAACCTATACATTAAAAATGGAGGAAAAAACATGGGTATTTTTCAGACGCACTAATAAAATACCTTCTTCTGGATCATGACTGTCTCTTCCTTTTTACTTTTATAAAGCGTACTATAATACAGGTAGGTTTGTAGTTAGGCAGTTGTGATGCAAATTGCGGGGGAGAAATTGATGTGTTATGGTGTCCTAAACATTACCATGTGCAATGCTGAACACTGTGCCATCAAGTAGTCTTCACTACAAAAGAAGGCAGAGTATAAAAGGAATAGGAGCTCTGACAAAGCTGTAGCAATGATTTTTCTAGTCTGTGAGTCCTTGAGGGAAAGCAGAGCTTAAATCTCCAAGAATTATACTATACATGTTTACATTATAAACACGAAACCTTCAAAATCAGTTTATAATATAAAGGGAATACCCAAAGGCAGCCAGCAAAAAGGACAGATGCCTGTACTGACCCAGAAGCAAAGGTCATTGGGGAGTCCTGGTGCAGGACTTAATGCTGAGGTGGTCACAAACTGACTTGAAACAGGAGAAAACTGGAATATGTTCAGATATGTTCCAGCAGTTGCACCCAATCATATCTTTAGTCACCTTTGAAATAAAAAGAAAGTTAGAAATGAGTCATACTTAACTGAATCTGTAGAAGAAAGATTTTTGGTTTGAAAATATAAGGTAATTCTGGAATTTTCAAATAAAGCACACTAACTTTGAGTAAGTGAAAATAACAATGCATAATTACAGAGCCCAAACTATCCTGCTATGCAACATCTTAATAGTTGTGCTGGTTTTGGCTGAGATAGTGTTGATGTTATTCATGGTAGCTAGTATGGGGCTATGTTTTGGACTTGTGCTGGAAACAGCGTTGATAATGCAGGGTTGTTTTTGTTATTGCTGAGCAGTGCTTACACAGAGTCAAGGCCTTTTCTGCTTCTCACCCCACCCCACCAGCAAGTAGGCTGGGGTTACACGAGAAGTTGGGAGGGGACACAGTTGGGACAGCTGACCCCAACTGACCAAAGGGATGTTTCATACCGTATGACGTCATGCTCACCAATAAAAGCTGGAGGAAGAAAAAAGGGGGGGACGTTCAGGGTGATGGTGTTTGTCTTCTCAAATAACCATTACACATGATGGAGCCCTGCTTTTCTGGAGATGGCCGAACACCTGCCTGCTCATGGGGAGTGGTGAATGAATTCCTGGTTTTGCTTTGCTTGTGTGTGCGGCTTTTGCTTTACCTATTAAACCGTCTTTATCTCAACCCATGAGTTTTCTTACTTTTACACTTCTGATTTTCTCCCCATCTTGCTGTGGAGGAGTGAGCAAGTGTCTGCGTGGGACTTAGTTGCTGGCTGGGGTTAATCCATGACAGCTTTGAATGCTGAGGACCTATAAAGCAGGTGGCTGTGTACAGCTGCCAAACATCATCTTAACCTCATTAGTAGTAAGTAAAGCAACATCAGAAAAGCAAGTTGCAGATGGCAGTGAAAGAAAAGGCACATAAGAACTAACAAAAAGAGCCCCTGAGTATGTACCTTTACTTGCAAAATAAAGCAATTCAGTGTAAGTGTCTTAATATAAGTAGCAGCAAAAGTTTGTTTCTGTGAATGAATGTAGTTTTGAGTGGAGGTCTGCTTCTGGGTAACACTAATAAAAAACAGCTGCAAGCTTGCTTTCATTATGTGCACAAATATAATAGGAAAGGTAATATTTATTATGAATTAGAATTCTGTTTTATTTAAATAGAGGATTGTTAGTTTCACTCAAGAGGACTCTTTTCTAGCTGGACTCCATTCTTTTGCAATTTTTAACCTTTTTTTGTTCCTTCTCTTAGAAACTTGTTCCCTATTAAAGACAGTTAATCTACTAAATCTCCGCTTCCTTGGATATGTTTAACATGCCCTTTATTTCTCAAACCCATCATATATGCCGAAGGTGAATCTGGTCTCTTGTGATATGAACAGTTTAAAGTTACATATGTGCTAGTTTGAATGGGTAGGAGCTGAGTTATAACTGCTTTTCCCTTAATGAGCCACAAATGTTGGTCCATCTTTTCTACCCAACCAAAACTTGTAATCAACATGTAGAAATTGTGTAGCTTTGTCATCTCTACCTGTCAAATTTGACTGAAATTGGCCAACCGGTCAAAGCTGGGGAGGTGATGTGGTGGAGAGGGTAAAGGAGCAGGAGTAAGCTGATGACTACTGGTGCAATCATGTACATTAACAAATTTAACAAACTGGGTGAAAGTCTCTGGTCTGTTCTGGTGGGCATTCTGTTCTATGGAGCTCTCTAACAATGTCAGGGAAAAGCAGCACCATAAAGACCTAGTTACCAAACTTCACTGGAGAATGCTGGTAGAGGTTCCTCTAACAGCTGTTCTCCAAGATATATGTCTTCATAGTACTACAGCAGAAGAATCTGTGTGGTGACCTAACAGCACCCTCTGAGAGGTCTGAGGAGCCCAGAGGGAGTGGGACAGTAGTTCCATGGTGAAACTGCAGTGTGTAGCTGGGTAATAACGATCAAGCTGCTGCAAAGTAACTTGGTTGCTCTTTAAGAATTTAAAGTCCCTCAAGGCCAGCTCTGATAACATGGCCATTATAGCTTTCATACGTCAGCATTATTGATTCAATGAAGTCCTCTTCTTGACCTTACAAGTGGGTCAAGATTTTCACAACGATGGGCCAGCGACTTAAATGGACATGGTTTCAGAATAGTTTGCTCAGAATAATCTCTCTTACAAAACTGGAATTTATTTACAGGTGCTCCTTTATTCTGTCATCATCTGTGACTGCCGGTCTCTCTTCTGATATCTGTCACTTGAACTTACTGTTTTTCCGCTGAGCTGTCAGAGAAGACAGCAGCTTGAACTTGCATCCTGTGAAACATTGTGAGTTAGTAAATCAAAAGCTAGCTTTGATAATCCTTGTCTTTTCTGCTTTTCAGGATAGTTGGATAACAGCATCATTGATACAAAAAGCAGCTATAATTGTGGTCTATGATTCAAAAGTTAAATGGCAAAAAGACTACTAGGCTTTTAACTGATCAGCTGTTTCAAAAGGTTCTCTTAAATGACAAGATTTAAGAAATTAAGTACAAAGTTTAAATTACTTAAGTTTTAAATAATTTAAAAGTATGGACAAATTCTCAGTATAAACCCCAAAACTTTAAATTACTTTAAGTAATTTACTTAAGTTTTTGTTTGCTCACTTAAGATTCTGAGACTGAAAATGTATTTACACCTGAATTTAGAGAGTTTTTTATTTATGTAATTTGTATTAGGTGTAAACTTGATTAGATGAAGAATAATTTTGAGAAAACCTGAAGTATTTATGAACTAGATTAAATTAGTTGACTTACTTCAGCTGGAAAATACAGGTTAGAAAAGTCTGAATGCTACAGAATATTATGAATGTTTCTTTCAACTAACCAGCAGACGTATAGGTCTTCTGATCATTACTCCAAATTATGTGAAAAATACTTTTTAAGAAAGTACATACATACAATGTGGTTAACATTGACTTAAAAACAGAGAGAGCTCTTTCGCATGGCATAGATGCCATGTAAGAAACAAACTGGAAAACATAAGGCAATATGTAATTTAAGTATTTAGAATAGATGAGTTTTCTTCAATCCTTAACTACTTAGTATGACACTAATTTTTCCATTCAATTTCAGAAGAGGAAGGAGGTTAAAAAAAAAAAAGTGCATGGATAGTGCCAGATGTCAGACTTCATTGCCTAGTTGGCTTTGGCCTTGATCTTTTCCAGAAGATTTAAGAGGAGGTGGCAAGAGGGATAGAAATGTAATCAGTTGGGCTATTACAGAGAAACAATGCGGCTAAGTACTTTCTTGGCAGTGTGTTGCTGTTTTTATCCATTCAGCGAATGTAATTTATTTATACATCTGTCAATAAATACAAGGCGGCATCCAATAATGAGTACAGCAGGGATTTAAGCTGGAGTGTATTGCTGTGTTTAACACAAAGGTCAACCTTGGGAAAGGGGCTTGAAATTAACATTTCTTGAAAACTATTTTTCCTTCCACTGAGGCTATCTCTTAATTCCAGCAATTTTCCCTGTTTGATAAGCAGAGAGAGCATACATTTTGATTATATGAAGGAGGGAGGAGGTGATGAAACTTCAAAAAATTTCAACCAGCATTGCATTCTGGTGATAAGAGTGGGACTTTATGCAGCACAGAAGAGATTACCTGAAGTAGAATTGGGAAGCAAATTGTATTTACAAAAGATGGCATGATTTTCTTAATAGGTGTTCAAAACAGGCTATTCACTCACATATTCTGCTGAGCTTGACTAGAAATAACTTCATTTCAAAAATGAAAATCAGACAAATCTGATTGAAGGTAAAAGCATTACCCTCTCACAGATACTTGACTAAAGGACTTGCATTAAATTTTCTTGATGGGAGCACAGTAGTATTTTATTCTGCGTCTGCATGAACTGGTAATGTGGAAAATAAAAATACAAATCATGTCCTTTATTGCTTCATGCTTCAACCCCACTAGAATTACTAGATTTATGTCTGAAATTATGGAAGAGATGTTGCAATATGATAGTTTGACAATAACTGTCACAATTATATTACCAAAATAGAGATTCAACGTACTCTTGAAGTTAAGAGTATTGAAATTATGTTTTAAGGACCAGGCGTCTCTTCCTGCGGTTTTATCTTGTTTTTAATGTAGCCAGGGTAGTTTTAAAGAAATATAGTATGTCTAAATATTGGCAGTTATCAGTAGGCTACACACATCAAAGACGTCATGTGCTGCAAATTTCCATGAGCTATACAAGGCTGTTATGAAGTACCATGTCATGGGTATCAACAAGATGTACTTGTGCTCCTTTTGAAACGGTTACTTTTTTCTCCCTGTATATAGATATTGGAATTGGTGAAGGGCATGCATTACCAGCTGGCCTGTCAGAAGTACTTTGAGTTGACGCATGAGGTAAGTAGCTACTAATTTTTGTCGTGTCATAATCACCATCTTTGCCTTGAGGAAGGCCTTGGAAAATCATGCATGAAGTCCAGAGACAACTTGCAGTTTTCACATCCATCATTAGCTGTCTTGCCTTGTTAGTTTTCATTTCAATAATTTCAAGTATACTTCACGTGTTCTTTTGTAGTTTTCTACATTTATATATTGACGTTATATTAATATCCTGAGCATTACAAGATGTAGTAAAAGGTTATGCTTTCTTCCTGAAAATGTCCATATTGTTAAATTTTGTCTATTTCCCTCCCAACTTCTTATGCACCCCTGGCCTACTCGCTGGTGGCGTGAGAGGCAGAAAAAGCCTTGACTCTGTGAAAGCAATGGTCAGCATAATTGAAACATCCCTGAATTATCAACACTGTTTTCAGCACAAATCCAAACCACAGCTCCATGCTAGCTAGTATGAAGAAAACTAACTTTCCCAGCCAAAACCAGCACAGTGGGTTAGATCTACTATGAATGACTTTGTAGTAAAGACTTGCTCAAGATTATGATATTTTCATAAGTTCATGGGGTCAATTGCACACAACGTCTACTTCAGGGCTGTCTTTGCATTTCCTCCCCATCATCACCTCTTAGGTTTCTACTGCATCTTATAGTCATGCTGGCAACAGCTTTGCTTTTGGCTTCAGTAGTCTGGTGCTTGGCACTAAGACTATGCTAATAAATCCAGCTAGACTAGAACGAGAATCACTAAGGTTGGAAAAGACCTTTAAGATCATCAAGTCCAACCATCAACCCAACACCACCATCCCCACTAAACTATAGCCTGAAGCGCCACATCGACACGTTGTTTGAACACTTCCACTGACGGTGACTCCACCACATCCCTGGGCAGCCTGTTCCAATGCTTGACCACCCTCTCAGTGAAGAAATTTTTCCTAATATCCAATCTAAACCTCCCCTGGCGCAACTTGAGGACATTTCCTTTCGTCCTATCACTTGTTACTTGGGAGAAGAGACCAACATTCACCTCACCACAACCCTGTTTCAGTTCGTTGTAGAGAGCGATAAGGTCTCCCCTCAGCCTCCTCTTCTCCAGACTAAACAACCCCAGTTCCCTCAGCCGCTCCTCAGAAGACTTGTGCTGCAGTCCCCTCACCAGCTTCGTTGCCCGTCTTTGGACATGCTCGAGCACCTCAATGTCCTCCTTGTAGTGAGGGGCCCAATGAACTTAGAACTATTTTGCGGTATGTGTGTGTCTTTGCACCTCAGTGCTACTGGTTCAAACAGATTTACCTGAAAGGTTGCCTGAAAGCTGCTTCTCTGCAACTTCAGTGAAAACTGTGCTTATTAACATTAATGCTACACTGTTCCTGAACCTTTGTTTCATTATCTCACAACCACAAAACAAAAGCAACCATCATTTGTGTGGTCCAGTGTGTTCTCTTCAGGCAGGAACTAATATGTTAAGGAAATGCACGTGTGTGCATTTTAAGTCTTTCAGTAAGTGTGGGAAAAGAAAGCATTACATACAGTGCATGAATGGCTTTAACATTTTTCAAATTCTGGGATATTAGGGCCTACTTCTTTTTGGGAAAATTATTTACTGAATAATAACACTGTAATTTGGTCACGACAAGCTGTCCAACATATGTGAAGAAAAGAAGGTCTTTTGACTTTATAGAAGTAAGACTGAATGGTCTGTAGGGTAGATATTTTCAAACACTATCATATTTTAATAAGAATTAAGAATAAACTGTGATTATATGGTAACTGGAGTAAGCATTCAATCAAACGCTACCAAAATACTAAAGTGTCTTTATTTATGGTCAAATTTGTATTTTAAGCCATATGGAAAGCATCATAACTGTTTGAAGTTCTAATATTTGTACTTGAGTTCTTAATAGGCTTATTTCATATGTTTGTTATACCTTTTAGATTGGTTAAGTTTGGGTTTTTTTGTACTAAAGGGAGGACAAAGGGCAACTTAAAGTAGAAATTAGACACTCTGGAAATGTAAGCAGTGTAACCATAATCCAAAGTAAATAGTCAGAGTAATGAAGAATGACTTTCACGGTCACGGAAGTGGCAAGATTTTATTTTACTTTAGTTGGTAGAATCGTATGGCAACTCAAAATAGAGAAAAATATTTCAAGTCCAGACAGTTTGGACATCTTGGCTACATACATAAAGTCAAGTAAAAGAGATTGATGATATCAACTATGAACTACTAGTAGGTTCAATAAATGTTCTTGTGACAGTGTGCCTATATAAATAATTAGTGCTTTGAAAACTGATTGTGTTTAAAGCCACTGTTTTAAGAGCCCGAGCATTATGATAAATAAGAAAACATAATTGGCTAGTGCCTGTGCTACTATTTTATATTCCAGGGGAATCATAGAATAGTTGGGGTTGGAACGGATGTTTAAAGGTCATCTAGCCCAACCCCCCTGCAATGAGCAGGGACATCATCTTCAACTAGATCAGGTTGCTCAGAGCCCCGACCAGCCTGACCTGAAACGTTTCCAGGGATGGGGCATCTACCACCTCTCTAGGCAACCTGTGCCAGTGTTTCACAACCCTCATTGTGAAACATTTCTTCCCTATATGCAGTCTAAATCTGCCCTTTTTTAGTTTAAAACCATTACTCCTTGTCCTATTGCAACAGGCCCTGCTGAAAAGCCTGTCCCCATCTTTCTTCTGAGCCCCCTTTAAGTACTGGAAGGCTGCAATAAGGTCTCCCTGGAGGCTTCTCTTCTCCAGGCTGAACAACCCCAACTCTCTCAGCCTGTCCTCAGAGGAGAGGTGTTCCATCCCTCGGATCATTTTTGTGACCTCCTCTGGACCCTCTCCAACAGGTCCATGTCTTTCCTGTGCTGAGGGCTCCAGAGCCGGATGCAGGACTCCAGGTGGGGTCTCACCCGAGCAGTGTAGAAGGGCAGAATCCCCTCCCTTGACCTGCTGGCCATGCTGCTTTGGATGCAGCCCAGGACACAGTTGGCCTTTGGGGCTACAAGCGCACATTGCTGGCTCATGTCCAGCTTTTCATCCACCAGTACCCCCAAGTCCTTCTTGACAGGGCTGCTCTTGATCCCTTCATCCCTCAGCCTTCATTGATACTGGGAGTTGCCACGACCCAGGTGCAGGAACCTGCTCACTTGGCCTTGTTGAACCTCATGAGGTTCACACAGGCCCATTCCTTGAGCTTGTCCAGGTCCCTCTGGATGCCACTCTGTCTCTCAGGTGTGGCAACCGCACCACTCAGCCTGGTGTCCTCTGCAAACTTGCTGAGGCTGTGCTCAATCCCACTGTCTATGTCATTGATGAAGATATTAAAAGAGTACTGGTCTGAATATGGACCTCTGAGGGACACCACTCATCACTGATCTTCATCTGGACATTGAGCCGTTGACCACTACCCTCTGGGTGTGACTATCGAACCAATTCCTCATCCACCCAACAGTCCACCCATCAAATCCATATCTCTGCACTTAAGAGAGAAGGATGTTGTGGGGGATCGTGTCAAACTCCTTACAGAAGTCCAGACAGATAACATCCGTAGCTCTTCCCTTGTTCACTGATGTAGTCACCCCATCACAGAAGGCCACAAGGTTGGTCAGGCAGGACTTTCCCTTCATGAAGCCATGCTGGCTGTCTCGAATCACCTTCCTGCCCTCCATGTGCCTTAGCATAGCTTCTAGGAGCATCTGTTCTATGATCTTCCCAGGCACAGAGGTAAGGCTGACAGGTCAGCGGTTCCCAGGGTCCTCGTTTGTATCCTTTTGAAAAATGGGTGCAATGTTTCCCTTATTCCAGTCTCCAGGACCTTATGCCAGGACTTTTAAATATCATGGAGTGTGGCTTGGCAACTACATCAGCCAATTCCCTCAGGGCTCTGGGATGCATCTCGTCAGGTCCCATAGACTTGTGCATGTTCAGGTTTTTCAGGTGGTCTTGAACGTGATCTTCTCTTACAGTGGGAAGGACTTTGCTCCTCCAGTCCTCATCTTGCAGTCCGTCCACTCAAGAGGTGTGGGAAAAGAGACTGCCAGTGAAGACTGAAGCAAATAAGTCGTTGAGTACCTCAGCCTTCTCCTCATCCGTTCTTACCGGTTTGCCAGTTTTGCTCATCAAGGGGAGTACGCTTTCTTTGACCTTCTTTTTCTGTCTGACATACCTGTAGAAGTCCTTTTTATTATTCTTTGCATCTCTTGCCAAGTTCAGCAACAGCCACGCCTTGGCCTTCCTGAAGCCATCCCTACACTGCTGGGCAACATCCCTGTACTCCCCCAGGATAGCTGTCCCTGCTTGCACTGCCTGTGCATTTCCTTCTTGCCCTTTAGTTTGCTCACCATGTCTCCACTCAGCCATGCCGGCCTCTTGCCTTCCTTTCCTGATTTCTAACACCTGGGGATCGAGAGCTCTTGTGCTTTGTGGGAAGCATCCTTAAAGATCTGCCAGCTCTGTTCTGCTCCCTTGTCCCTGAGGGCAGTTTCCCAGGGGGTCCTATTGACTAATTCCCTGAAGAGCTGGAAGTTTGCTTTCCTAAAATTCAGGGTCCTGACTTTACTCTTTGCCTGCCCCGTATCCCTCAGGACTGTGAAATCCACCAGTCCATGATCACTGCAGCCCAGACTGCCTCCAGTCTTGACATCACCAATTAGCTCACTTGCGTTGGTGGCCAACAGGTCCAGTATGGCATCCCCTCTGGTAGGGCTGTCTATTACCTGAAGTAATCCTCAGTGCACTCCAGGAGTTTCCTAATGATGTTAATGCTGTTTGCATGAATATTGCTGTATGTTACTTGTTACAGTTACAGCTGTAAGAATTGATTATTCATATGTTAATACTTATCTGTAAACATTTTATTCTTCAGGACTGATTTTACAATCCTTGTGTATTTTTAAGAATAAACGATATCTGACACATAGCAAACTTTCTGGTACAGAAGAATCACTTTTGAGTAGTTTATTTAAAAACATATGCAAAAAACGTATTTCTTAGTCCTTTGTGATCAAATGGCAAGAATGCTGGACTTTCTTTTTAAAAAAGGCATGTGGTTAATTGATATCATTTACCGTAGCACCATGATTGCTCCACATGGATTTTCTGTAGTATCAGCTGTAGCATTATCAGCTGCCATTTTAGAAGTTCTTGGTTAAAACCCAAAGATACTATAGCTACAAAATGATTGCTTCAGGTTTTTCAAAACAATATTTGCTATAGCAGAAATAAAAAACTAGAGTTTGTATGAAAGCCAGTATGTGCAAAATGTGTTGAATCCAAAAGAAGTCTTGTGTTAGTATCACTTACTAGATAGAATAAACAGTTCTGTCTGAAGTGACAGGCCTTTTCACTGGAGTCAATACGTGTTATAAGCTTAAATTTTTGACTGCACAGAAAGTACATTTTTCTTTGGGCATAGTGGATATCAGATGGATTTACAGGTGTGAGTGGATAAAGCTGTTAGAGAAATCTAGTTTTGCTGTTTCTCGTAGTAAGTTTCAGGTAACTTACAGCTAAGATAATGATGCACTTTTATAATTGACGTGCTTTGGTTTATATTACCTGAAAGTATTGAAAACTTAAAGTAACATGGGCAGTCTAACATAAAAAAGCCAGGAAATTTGTATATGCTTCACCTCCATTTTCGTGGTCAAATTTCTTCTGTATTTCTAGCCAGAGCAGAATATTTTTATTCGGAGAACCGTGTTGAAAATTACACAAACCAGAATTGTTTATGGATCACTATATCACAAATGAAGATAATGAGCAAAACTTTCACTTTGTCTCTTCAGGCTCTCAAAAAAGGTGATAAAATGAATAGGCAGAACTCTTTTAATTAAAATAAGGTACATGGAGTCATACTACAATTTTATCCCACAACCTGTAAATAGCTTTTAGCCAGATACTGTCAATCTCCTCTGAAAACATGCTCCATTCATACAGTGAGCTGCTTCTAGAGCTCATTCCAATTTCTTGGGGAGAGAAGAGTTTAGAACAACATTAAGAGTTACAAAGTGAATCTTAAATTGGTCTGCAGAAAACTGAAATTTTAAGTTTAAAAAAAATATAATTAATTAAGAGCTGCTTCTAGGAAAGCCAGCTTTTCACTGTACCAGTTCTTTTTAAGTCTTTTTGGCGTAAAGAAGTAATTTAGTTCCTACATAATGGAAACTGGTGCATGGATGAAAGCTGGCTGGATGAAACTCATCCAGATAAGACTGAAGTGAAATTCAGTGGTGGCTTTAGGTTTGTTTTTTTTTTTTTTTGCTTTGTGCCTTTTAATTTGCGTGCCAAATTAGTGTGCTAGGCTTGTGACTTATTTTTTTCAGGCAAGGTCACTTACTACAGTTGCTAATGTGTCTGAATTAGATTTTGTTATATGTGTCGCCATTTTCTGATGGAGCTAAGCTAGACAGTGGTAATGCGCTGAATCAGGGTTCCGTTTAAAATGCACGTTGATTCTCTGCTTTATGATTTTTCACAAATGGCTGAAATTTAAACGAATGGTTTTTGGCATATTAAATCAGGCACAGTATATGACCTCATGAGGCACTGTGTGTGGCCAAAGTTGAATTGGCCCCACTCTTCTGGGAAAAAGGGAAGATAGTGGGAGCAGGAAATTACCAGTGTATGGCTCTTAGTCTTCCTTGGTTTCTTGTATCCCAGGCTTGGGAAGTTTTCCAACATTTTTTAAGAGCAGTATTTTCCTCAAAATATTCTTAGTATTTGCATTAACTGACGGGGAGATGAAAGGTGCAGATTGCCTGAATATGAGGTGGAAGCACCTTTTAAAGTAAGCATTTCCAACTTTTGAGTGCCTGAAAAGAGATAGAAAGGTTATAACTGAGATTTGTGGTGAATATGTCAGAATAGCTTAGTTTTAAAACTGAAAGCTTTGTTGATTTGAAATATTTGATGAGTATTAATTGAATGTTAACTTACCAAATAATGATGGAGCTGAAAGAATGTGCCTGCTAAATAGAAAGGAGCAATAAAAATGGGCTGCGCATTATGCTAGTTTTCTGTATTCTTATTCACTGAATGTGGAATGTTCTTCAGTATTAGTTGTGCATCTAGTTTCAGGATGCTGATGTTGGCACTGATGGAGCAGAGATAAGCTCGATCTTTCTTTCTTAGCCTGATGCCTTGTAAATATTGCATTTGTGGCTACTGGAGAAAAAAGGGGAAGAGGGGAAGCTACCCACTTCCAATGCCATTTTCACACTGCTACTTAAGATCTAGATTTATATTGTGCAGTTGTTAACTTTTAGTAGTATTCTCTACTGCCATTTGCACTCTGGACTTGCCCCAGTCCCTCTTTGGGGTAGGGAAATGCTATTTTAACATGTAGGTTCAATTGCCTTACATATGTAAAGCTATGCCATTTTATTTATTTTATGTGTTTTAGGGTGTTTTTACTACAGCAAAGACAGTGTGAAATTTTGTTTGAATGTGCCAAAGCAGTCATTTTATTTTGAACATGAAGAAATTTTGTGATGAAAGTAAATTTGTGTCGTGCCAGTATTTACTGGGATAGTATTTACAAACTGATGCCTCTTTCTCCAACAAAATTGGAACTTATTAAATTGCTAATTAATTTGTTCTTGAATGTGAAAAAGATTATTTTTTGAAATAAATATAATAACTCACGGTTCCTTTCCTTTTATGTACAGGTTGATGACATTGGGTTTTCTTTGAATCATCCTAATCAGTATTTTACAGAGAGTCAAAAGCTATTAAGTGGTGGTAGAGAACTGAAGAAGGAACTAAGTAATTCAGGAAACTCTCAACAAAAAAGTAATAGTCAGGAAAGCATGAATTCAGATTCTGCTCCCACCTCTTCAAATACAACACCTGATGCAGAACTGGAGGGACTGGAGGCATACTTCACCGAAGACTAAGCAGCTGTATTTGGGTTTTTTTTTTCTTTTCTCTCTTTCATTCTTTCTGCTCTATAGCTGAATTTGTCCCTGTACTAAGGGAATATGCACTTCACTACCTGGAATATACAGGCTTTTAGTGCTTTGAATAGGCTGAAGAAAAGAAAGATGACTGCTGAAGCTGTAATTGCATCCAGTACTTATTCTTGCTGCTTTAGGATACTGTTTTATATGGCTTGTTGAATGATGGGAAATGAAAGTTCCTTCCCAATTATTATGTGATTTTTGTCTGACTTACCTTTTTTGTTTTTCTTCACAATGTTTAAATATTTTTATCACCTTTTGTTGTAATTTTTATATGTTTCTTCTTCATAAATAAATTGCAAAGCAAAAGTTTGTGGTATTTTCTTTTTAGCTGTATTTAAATGGTAATTAAGTTTTTATGATCAAAATTACCTTCCAGAGGAGTCCATCTGCCTCTTCTACATGAGGAGCTGAGGGAAATCAGCTTCCTAATTTGTGTACCATGACACTACATTTAGAGAGCTGGTTTTGGTGCTTGAAAGAGAACATAGCAGAGTTCAGACACATATATGTAAGAAGGTAATCCAAAAAGCTGATGCTCCACCAACTGCCTTATCTTGAAGAAGCTAAAAACTAACTAGCGTATATTCCTTTTCACTTTTAAAGTTTCCTCAATGTCTGAGCATGGCTGGAGCCTCCTGTGCCCTGCTAAGCTAAACAGCTGTCTGAATGCAGCATTGGGTCACCTAAATTTCACCCATTCCTCCAAAGCCCCAGTCACCTAGCACACAAACGGCCTTCAGCTGAGCAGTTGCCACTGTGCAGTGGGTGGAAGCTCTAACCAGAGCTGGTATTTTATATCATGACGTTAGAGTATTCTCCAGGGGATTTGGAAGGCCTGAATTTTATTTTATCTGATGCTTAAGGAGTTTCAAGACAACATTACCCCTTCCCTGGAGAGTGACCAGCTATTGGTATAGCCCTGTAAACCACGTAACCACAGTATTGACATTGCTTGTAACTTGTATTAACTCTGCAAGGCCTTAGCGTGAAGACTCGCTGAGCTTGATTTATCTGGGCTTATCTTGCCCTATCTGAAGCTTTGTTTTAGCCGTAACAGCAACTGTCAAATGACAGACTAACTTGGTAAAATTGCATGGTGTACTGCCTATGTTTACAACTATTTTGATATATTTCTGTAGCTAATGGCTAGTAATAAGTAGTTATTTTGTGTAGAATCAATTAGTCTATCATCTCAGGTGCCAGAAGCCCCATGGATATAAACAAATCAGCCGTGGCCAAGTGCTGATCCTTAAAGAAATGCAGCCTAAAGAATTGTGCAAAACACGTTTTTAGGGATAAGAGAAGAAAGAAAAACACGTAACATGAGTAAATTGCACACTATACGTATAATTATTTGGCTGTAAAGTGGAATTGCCAGACCAATAAAGAAAGACGAGTGAGTAGAACGTTTTTGGAAATGTGTAATATTACTCCAGGTAGACACTAGAGAGAAGGAGAAACAATCCCCACCATCAGCATCCTGCTTCTCCTGATGAACAACATGGGACCCTGACCATTTGTGTGGAAGAGGGTGCTGCCGATCCCAGGACCCCCGTGGGCAGTGGTAACCTGTGTGCAGGTCTAGAGAAAGGGTTAGATACAAGGAAATGCGTGAGTATGTAACATCTGCTAGTTGTATTATCTTAGAGGTTGTACTTTTTCTGCAATAACTGACTGATTTAGACTATTGTGACTGCACTGAAGACTATTTGATTACTGTTAAGATTTTGGACTAACTGTAAGTTTTTGGCTTCTTATATGTAGAGTGTACCTTTAGGGTTATGTAACTTGCACAGGGGTAGTGCAACATCACGCTTTAAAAATAAAACATGTAATTTTTGTTAGTAGAGGATCTGCCAGGATTCACTGTTCCTTTTCACTTCCTTGAATTATTCTTTAATTTATTTAGCAACTGCTTTGTGTAAACTACCAAACCTCTTACTCCTTTGGATATCATATATTCAAAGGAGTTGTAGAAATGTTTAGCCACAGGATGAGAGGAAATGGCCACAAATTGTGCCAGGGGAGATTTAGATATTAGGAAAATTTTCTTTACGGAGAGAGTGATCAGGCATTGGAACGGGCTGCCCAGGGAGGTGGTGGAGTCACCGTCACTGGAAGTGTTCAAAAAATGTGTGGACGTGGCACTTCAGGACATGGTTTAGTGGGCATGGTGGTATTGGGTTGACGGTTGGGCTTGATGATCTTAAAGGTTTGTTCCAACCTTAATGATTCTGTGAGCAAAGGCTCTGCACCTGGGTCCTGGAGGGTGGTGGTGGTTCTGCGCCCAAGAAGCAAGGAGTTATGAACAGCTGTGGGCTTGGTTTCTCCCGTTGGTTAAGCTCCTTGACGGTTGGACTTGATGATCTTAAAGGTTTGTTTGTTTGTTTGGCAGCATCCCACCTGATGTGTGGGAGTGCACTGATAGTATTAGATGGTTAAGAAACTTGCCTTTAGGATTTTAAAGTGTCCTTGCAAGTGGTAACAGTCCTCTGAATTTGAGTTACTGAATACCTGAACTGGAGGTGCCTTGATGGACATCGTGGATCTTTTTAATAGGAATGAAACTGTTTCAGACCTGCAATGGTATTTGTGTTCCTAAGTGGAACAGGGGAGAGAAGAATGAGGCAGTCAAAGCACTGAATGCCGGTGGTGTGTCCCAACCAAGGCCCACAAATTGTGGTTTATGGTTCAGTAGAAACGTTTCTGTTATGCCCTAACCCCACCAACCTAGACATTGTCACCTGCTGCGTGAAGAGACTTCCTAGCGCTTCATTTCTGAGCCCTACACGTACTTTGGAATCTGTCACGTTGGGAATGGCTGCTTGTTTGCACAGTCTACCCTGCATTGCTACACTAGCAGAATAAAGTTATTTTTAGGAGTTCAAGCATAAAATTTAAAAATAAATTCTATTACAAGGAAGGGAATATAACCTCACAAATCCTCTGAATGAAAAATACTGATGTGAAATCTGAGCCCTACACGTACTTTGGAATCTGTCACGTTGGGAATGGCTGCTTGTTTGCACAGTCTACCCTGCATTGCTACACTAGCAGAATAAAGTTATTTTTAGGAGTTCAAGCATAAAATTTAAAAATAAATTCTATTACAAGGAAGGGAATATAACCTCACATCCTCTGAATGAAAAATACTAATGTGAAATGCAGCAAATTAAAATTGAAATGCAGCACATAACCGTATGTGACAAGGCCTTTGTACTTCATTGGTTTGCTTCATTATTGTGAGTTTAACTCTCTTGATTAATAGTACTACAAATTGCTTTAAACTGTATTTTCTTCCCTTTTATTACCTGTCAGATGGACTACCATAAAATATATAACAGAAAATCATACAAATTATAGCATACAGTTACAAGTAGCTAGCAAAGTATTAACAGTTATGCTTTTGTTGCTATTTGAAGAAAATGGCAATTTATTACCATATTTCACACATTTTGACCATTTTGGTTTTTCTTTGAAAGCAGAATATTTTGAATTTGATAGTGTAGAACTATCCAAAATGAGCATCTTCCTTTTGAGCATGTGGACACCAAGGAATTGTTTGTCTTCTAGAGCTTTAAACTCATGTTGCTTTGTAATTCCAATAAAAGTCGCTTGTTCCTTGATTATAGAGCTGTTAGTGATTTTTGCCTTTCAAAGAATATGTAAATCATTCATTAGAAAACATTTCCTGCGCTTTATTAGTGCCAGTAAAAAATTACATTTAGTCAGAAGATAAGGATTCTGAAAACTGAGTGGCCCTGATATGATTATGCAGTAGTCAAAAATTACAACAAAACCAAACAAAAAAACCCAAATCCCAAACCCCACTCTTGCAAGTTGGAAAGAAAATGTATTTCTACAGTAAAGCATTGCAGATGGCTCTGTTTGCAAGCATCAGCTGTCCTTGTGGCTCTTTATAGTAAACTTTTGTTATATTTTGCAACTTGAAAAAAACCCAAACAAATCAGGAGATGCACAAACATCTGAAGTTTGAAACTGTTCTGCACCAAGACACTTCTGGGTTATTAAACGAGATATTAAGACAATATTTGGTTGCATTTCTGAGGGGATGCACACAGCTGTGCCTGTTGCCAAGAGATAGCCCCGTGCAGCCATGGTGGTCATGTAGGACATAATCTTCTTTGCAACATCTGATCTTCAATGTCCCACAGTTAAATTTAGAGGAGGATGCTTTAAAAGGAACACTGGTCCCTAGCTTGTAATCTTTTGAAGTGCTAGCATCAAAGACAATAGAACAGTCTGACTTCAAAGCTTTTCGGGATCTAACGATACTGGAAGGAAGCGCGAGGAGCTGAGAAGCTGTGTGTGATGCTCTGCTGAGACGTGTTGCCCCAGCAAGGGCAATGGTGAGAGCAGCTGGTACCATGGCACTATAGGAATGGGTCTGTGGAGCAAAACTCTTGATGCTGAGCATGTGGGCGTTCCTTCTGTGCATGTTTTGGGAGTTTTGCTTTGGATTAGTTTTAGTCCTACAGTATGGCTGCAGCAGCCGTTAGCAGGAGCATTGCAGAGTGTGCCTTTTGGGTGAATTTCTTCCAGAAGGAATCCGGTTTGCACGCTCTCAGACCAGTCGGAAGTGTGAGCCAAAGCAGAGTAAGTGGGAGCGAGCGAGAGATTCGCTTGAAGATGGTCAACATTTCAGTCGGTCTCGAGCCCATGTGGTTGGAAGACACAAGGCAGCAAGAGTACATTTAGGGGGTGGGATAGGGCAACATCTTTGTGATGCCGGTGCTCGCGCTGTAGGTGCAAGCCTATCCCACTACAATCACTGATGCTTTCCTTATTTTCCCCAGTGCATACCAGAAACATGTCATGAGTAATAGCTGGACAAATGTAGTCAATGTCACAATATCTGGGTGGTTCTTTTGGGTAGATTTCACATCATGATACTTAAGAAGTATTTTTTTTGA